TATATGGCGGTGCTCCCTGGGGTTCCGAAGACGGTTACCCAACACCCCCACCTTGCCATCTGTCTGGATCCATTGTAGCTTGTTGTAAATCCCACAAGGATACTCACAGTGAGGAGAGACAGAAACACAGAAAAATGCTTTTAGGAAGCATTGCACACCCACAGCCTGTCACGAGAGTTGAATATGACATGAGAGTCTTGCTATGCCTTGAACTATACACTGCTTAAAAAGTTGTCTTGAAGTTTAAATATAATAGTGCCTTAGTTGCCACCAACTAAAAATGGAGTGTTTGTTGACAATGCTGTGTACATAAATATATCTTTCTGAGTATTCAAAGATTCACTGGAACATGTGATTATACATAAAGAGGATGGCCAATGAAACTGACACTTAAATTGTCTGTGCTGCTATTATGTTACTCCACATTAAACTCTGTGTGTATTTTGTACCAAGAAACTACTGCTTTTGTGTCAACCCAGAAAGAAGAAGCAGGAGAAGAAAAACACAGTAGAAGAAGAATAACTTGAAGGTATTTACATGAGACAGCTTAAAGTGAACAATGATTTAAGTGGACAGTAGCCTGTGTCGGACATGTCAGGGTTTATGTTTGTGCTGTGTTTCATAACCCATGTCCTGTGTTGTAAAGTTACTGAACCAGATGCCAAAAGCATGCGTAGTGATGAGGGTCACAGTAGGTTCCCCTGTCACCCCAAGAGTTTATTCTATTGCAGTGTCCTTGAGCAAGATACCGAACCCTTGTCAGCTCAGTAGGTGTAGCATCATATTCCAACACTGTGTCAGGGAGGAAATATTGCGTTTATAAATACGATTTTATTGTTCACTCCTATTGCCTAATTCAGGAGATATGTCATTTTTGAATGAATGAAAATATTTAATTGACATATGCATAATAAAGATCAGAAATGTGAAAAGTCTTTGGTCTTTTGATTGGACTCCATCGTGTGTCATCATATTTGAAGGGGTTGGTGAAGCCCTGATTAGTAAAGGAAACACAGATGTTGTAGTGGGGGATGAAGAAAATGACTGAAGATCTGGATGTGATGAGGAGTGGACTAAGCTCAACCTGGGAACTAGATTTGATGAACCAGATGTAAATGGGGTGGAGGAGGATTGCAATGATTTCACACTTAAAAGACAGCTGAGCAGAGAGGGGGACTGATTTAAAGATTGACAGCAACAATGTGATTGGCTGGAGATTGTGGCAATGTCTGATTTATTTAACTGAAAGAGTAAACACCCATAGTCAGCTGATTAAGAAGAATGAGAGAGAGAACTGTGAATGAATCAGGCATAAATATAGTCTGCTGAACTTGTGCTGAGGTTATATATATAAAAAAACACTTGAAATTTAAAAGGCAAAATTGACACAAAATAAAGATGACATAAAAGTGAATATTCAGTCTTTGAACCACTACATGTGCTGTACCTCTGAGCACAATAGTGACAGAAGGAGTCCTTGGTGTCGGCTAGCTTTTGCTGCAGTGCGCCTCCATTTAGAGGGTTATGATTGAGGTTTTTCAGATAGTATTTCCATACAAATGGAAAGCAGGTCTTTTCCAATCGGTCCACAGGCACTTCAGTAATGACAATATACAACAAAAATGGATTTAGAAATCCAATGATAATCCTGTAATAAGTAATAAATATTAAGCATGTAATAAGAAATGACTCAGAAATCCTCAAATGGAACATTTGCTCACACTTTTTACACTACACCTTCAGTTCTTCCATTGGCAATGATATAAAATTACCCACAATATGATTTAAACCACAACTTTTATAGTAATGGATTGAATTTCAGCTCATTAGATGTAATTCAGGACAGAAGTACTATTACATGAAGTATATGAATAAACCATTTAGTACAATTTGTAAAGTCTCTTTTTTATAAGTAAGGCCCTCCAAGAAATATTCAATAGGAAATATGTTAGGGGAATAATTATGATAGTTAGTCTCTCCCACTGTGGAAAGCTTTGATCAGATTGAAGTGCTACGTGTCAGAACAAACTGAACATCTGAACAACAGCGAGTGGTTAGCCGCCTTCCTCCAGCTGTCAGTTTGGTTTTGCAAGATGGTCAGGAAAGAGAAGAAGGAAATGTGCAACAGTGCAGTAGTAGTGAATTTAAATTCAGGCTGCCACAATACATGGGCAATCTGTAATAGTCCACTCACACATCATAGCACTTGATTCAAAAGCTTCACAGCCAAGCCAGATTTAGTGTGTGAAATTATGACGCTTCTAAGAAAAGATTGTATGAAATAATACAAAATTTAACTCTGAAAATATGAGGTTTTAATTAAAAGCAAACTTAAATGTATAATCTTTGTTCAAATGGTCAGTTGCCTTTGCTTTTGTAGTGCCCTTTTTCAACTGTCTCTGATCTTGAGTATACCATTATTGTTCAGACAGGGCTGCTTTTTCATTGTGAGATTTGTGTGTCCCCCATCTCTCAACTGAATGAGGAAACACAAACAGGGCCCTTTCAGGTCGCATCTTTTTCAAATCAGGACGAGACAGTGCTGTAGTGGATCACGCTGGTGTGCTGCATTTATAAATAAATCCACCATGAGACGACAAAAAAACAAACAAAAGAAAAACGGATTTAGTGTTTCGATATGAAGACATATTTTACAACATATTCACAAATGTGGTTTGTTGACCATCGAGGGAATGCTTGTTGTCACTATAAATTACAGGCCAAACCATGACAGTCCTGTTATAGCAGTTATAGTGACACTTGAGGCCAGGATACAGAGAAGGACACGCCCTTGATGTGCTGAAGAGCCATGAGGAAAAAGGGGTTGATAAAAAGAGGGTGGATATTGTGCATGGACAGAGGTTAATGTGAGATGAGCGACTTAGCCGGGCAGCATAAGAACGGCGCAGTATGGTGAATGAAGGAGGGAAAACATGATGTTCCGGTTGAATCATTTTGAATGGGAGGATATCATTAATTTGTATGAATACTGGCAAGAAATCTCAGAGAATGATATTATGCATACAGCCAACAGTCTGACATTGTAATACAGAGCACTCAAGAGCTATGAAAGCCTCTTATAAACATCAATTCAGTGTATTCACAACAATTTTATTTTGCCTTTTGCCAAAGCCTTTCTTTTTTCCTGATGTGAAATATCATTCTCATGTTTAGTGTAGAGTACTATAAATGGGAGGATGAAGAAGGATTTTGTCACTTTTCTCAGGTTGGCAGTCATAAGCCTGGATAAGCCCTCATAAATATTAGTGTGTCTCACACATACTGTTTCCAGTTGTTGCAAATATACTGGCAAAGTTTAGCACATTCCAAATCCAAATCCCCCTCTCTGGGTTTATAAATACCACTCTACCCCAGCAGCATGTAATTTCTCCCCAAATCAGTCTAAAACAATGGACATCACTTTGACATACAACATATACGAGCACACTGGACACAGATAAATGACAGTTTATGTCGAAGATGTAATGCATCAATTATTACTGAAGCCCTTTACTTCGCTGGTGAGTTGTGTGGCAGTTTATTGACGCAAAAATGTTGAAAGACGGAAAGAGGATAAAGGTCTTGCTACATTGGTTGGCTGAAGTCCTTGAGGCAAGCATGAATACACTCAGAGTCAATAATTTATGCACCCAGACACACACAGTCAAACACACGCACACACATATACAAAGTGAGAAAGAGAGAAACGGGGCATCGCTGCAGAGGGAAACAAGACTAAAGAGCTTCAGGGACAGAAACATAGTCTGAGACTAACAACTGGAAGCCATACATATGTCGCCAGATGTGAGATTCTATTCTGCTCTCCACTATGAAAGAAAGAGAGGCATATCAGGGAGGTTTGAGTCAGTGGTATTTCTACTGTGTTTGCTTGCCTGATGTAAGAAGATAGTAAAGGTTTTGCCTTTGGCGAATGCTTACAGGCATATGTTGTCTTCACACTGCCTGACACATCTCTTCAAGCTTACATAATGTAGATCTGCCCTAATTTCCCTCTCCCTAGCAAAATTGGGGTCTTCAAGCAGCTAAGCAACGTAACACCATCAATCTGACAAACAGATGAGTCAAAGATGATCCACAGTGGTTAGTTTTCTTATTAAAATTGACACTTCCCAGACACAGATCCTGTGGTTTGTCATTCACACCAAATGCAATGTGGGGAGGTGTATCAGTGATGTATTCCATGCAAGTCACCTTCTTTCATAAACAGTGTGTACAATTTAGAGACGTGCAACATACAGTAATCCCATAAACGTCAGAAAGCTCAGTTACAAATTAGTTCACACTCTGTGTCAGCGTAATACCTCTTGCTCTAGAATTGTTTTTCTGTGTCAGGTAATTGGATGTTTCCATGGATACTGGGCTTCGAGAAAGCTATGTCTACCAAGAATATAGTTTCTCTGTCTGCTAGCATATGCATACAGATATATTCATGTTCACAGTTACAGTAAGGTCAGATATCCTTATTCCAGCTTTATGCTCAGCACAATTGACACAACAAATACATCCTCTGCTGCCATGGGAGGCTCGAGACAGTCTGAATTCAAACGTGTGCAAGAAACTAAATATTTCAAAGTGCATTTTCTCTTCCTGCCTTAGGCCTGTTCTGTTGTCTGTATAACTGTAACACTTTGGGCAGATAATCATTTCATTTATACATGAGAGAATTGATCATTTAAGTTCTTAGTCAAAATGTCTTTGGGTGATACTGAGTAAAACTAAGGCATCATAAAATACTAACTATGCCATATCAATGTTGATTATGCAACACAGCCCTTTTTCGTTATTTCCCATTTGCCTCATTTAAAAGATGACGATGGCTTGATCGGAACATTTGAATTGGATATTGTAATTTCAGTAATGTTCAGAAAAATGCCAATGGGGTTTTATGCAACATTTTAAGATCTGTCCTCTCTGTGCACTATGACATTTATTGCACACATCATGCCTTAGACGGTGAAGGGAACACAGAAACAAGGGTATACCAAATGAATGCATATCTTTTATTCATCAGTTAACAACTAAAGAAACAGCACATTGTAGATATATTTACCCCACATATTCCTAGTTGTACTGTGTTTTTGCAATAAGAGACCAGGTTTTTGCTTTTCAGAGCCAATGTGGATTTACATGGAAATGCTGATGAAGTGTTCTATTTACAAATCAGAGGTTGACATATATAGAAAATCACAGTTTCATATGAAAACCAAACAAAAAGAAATAAAAGCAAACATAAGAATTGGAATAAGAATAAGACACGGATTGGACCTATTCTTCTTTGCAAATAAAACATTTGCACATACACAGGACAGTCACATTTCAATTTAACATATTTTTGTATTATTAGTATTTGAAGTCTCACATGACGTGACAAAAATCTGCATTAGGTCATTGATTACAAAAAGCTAAAAAAGAAAAACATATTACAAATTTCTGTTAAATAGTAAATACTGTGTTCCATTACACAGTTTGCTTTGCAAGATTCTTAGAAATGAAAAGAAATGTCATGACAAATAAAAGGATTTACCTCCAAATAAGCTGGCAAGCTAAATTGTTTGCATTTTTGTGATGTGTTACTTTTTCATCTGTTTGGCTGTACAAAAAATTACCACACATTTAAAAAAAAATATATATTAATTTGAGAACTGAAACAAACAACTAAAGGTTGGCCACTGTTCACAATAAAAACATTTTGTGAGTATCTGTCTGTGCATGTTTGCAGGTTTACAGAGTTTTTCACCACTAACTTCACAGCAATATATTGATTAAGAAAATCCAACATGTAACAAAGTACAAACCTGTGCAGGTTTACATCATGCTTCACTGTGTAGATTTTGTTTGTTCTGAAGGATTTCCAAAGAGCAGACACAGGTCAACTGACAAAATAATCACAAAATGACTCTGAACATGTGAAAGGCAACAAACCAAGACTGTATACTTGATAAACAGCATGACTAATGCTGCAGTGTAATACATGGTGACGTGCAGACAGGGTCCAGATACGCCATGTCCTCTAATTAGCTGAGTTAAGATGACAGGTTCAGTGCATAATACTGCATATGATGTGAATTTACTCTATGTATTAAACTCTCAGGGAAAATCAGATTTCAGGGCTTACACTATTGACCCAGAAATTGGGTAGACTGCGTTATAAGACTGGATGGTGTGCTTACTTTGCTTTAGAGCAGAGAACATTTTTATGCATAAAGACGACTCTATCCATTCAACTTCTGCATTCATTTGTTGTGCTTTTCAATCTAATGGCTAAAGCTCTTCCAGACCTTTACACATTTGTCACATTACTCATCAAACCCTCCTTTAAAAGAGAGAAACAGAGACTGACTATACTTGACTATAATTGCAGTCAAATTGCCAGATTTCATATATTCACCATACAGATGAAAAAAACAATTCCTAAAACTGAGACAGTGATTTTCATTGTAATGCAATACACACATATCCACTCCTAAAAGTATCTCCCTAAAACACATATATGAAGTTTTAGAAAAAAATGAATGATCTAAAATGTGGTACAAAAGTACCTCTGAATATTCATGTGTTAAATTTCAAATATGCATTCATGGGATGTGATTATATTATTAAATATAGTTTTTATGAGTGTTGGTTGGTAACTGAGGGGATGAGCTGCATTTTGTACAGATTGTCTATGTGTACTCTATATCTGTGCATAGTGCAAGATCTTGTAACATGAGTTACTTTAATGTATGCAGTTATCAAACCTACTTCTATGGCTATATGCACAAGTGTTACCATATGGTGCATTTCAGAAAATTGACATCATTGTTGACCTGCAGAAGTCAGTAGTGCATTTTTTGTACAAGAAAAACAAAGAAAAGAAATATCTTTTGTATAAAAATAGTCATAAAATACAGTATGTTTTCAGTTTCAGCTGAATTTAAAACAGAAGTATATGGAGAAATATTACACCCTTCTTGTATTGCAAATCTACTCAAATGTAATGCAACTGTAATAAAATTTTTATAAGTATATTCAGACCTATAATTAAGAAAAATGGTTGTATAATTGGGTATGATAAAACACAGGACTGTGCTTTGCTGTAACCCTCTGTGTGTCAAACTTTGCATATTATGAGCGGATTTTTTTGTGAAGTGCTTTGGCTCTGGTAAAAAATAAAAAAAGATACTCATTAAAGTTAATCAATTTTCAGCAAGTGTTTTTTTAAACTGTTCATGTAAAATGCCAAAAAAAAAGCATTTTTTCATGTACATATTTGTGGATGCATGATGTGGACCTGCAGTTAAAGCTAATTTTCTTTCATTTGCAATGCATCTGAATACAGCTGTAGTTAGTTACAACATTTCTGAGTACAGTTACAATACATTAATATTTAACTCAATACAAGTGCAACATGTGTCCATAATCTATAAGTACTGGCGGTTTGGAGATGGGGAAGCTCTGAGGGAACACCACCGATTTCCACAGATTACCCTACAGTATATGCACTAGGTCAGTTCAGTACATTTTTAGGATACATTAATTATTCTCTCACAAATCTGCAAACAAGAGAGCAGAGATTTACTGGCCTCGTAATCTGTGATTTGAGATATTACATTGGAATTTGTTTTATGATCTCATAAATGTAATATTGTTATCCCCGACTGTGCGTACTGGAGGACAAACTAAATGTGTCTGACTCCATTTTTCATTGGAGCACAATTTCCTAAGAGATGCGTAGGCTATGTGACTTTTGTCAACACATACACAGGTCAAATTCATGTTTACAGATACATTTACTTCAGATTTAGTGTATGTATGTTATTTGCTTTGAATAAATTTGAAAAGACAGAACTGGGAGCCATACATATAACTTTAACAAAAACCTGGTTTATTTTGGGATAAGAACATATCATCTGCACGGTTCATTAACACTCATGAAATGCAGCTCATTTGAGAGTAAAAGCTCAGACTCACATCATTGTCAATGAAACACCTCCAGGATGTATTTTATGATGGGATGAGTCATAAGAGCCCTGAATCTCTGTTTGCTTGTTCATATTTACAAATTGAAACCAAACTATTAACGGCATGCCACAGGCATGAAGTGTTAAGTGATACTTTAAAATGAGTAGAGTTCCCCTTTATTATTGAATTCTGTAAAGCATGATTCCCAGAAATGCCTACTGTAGTTCACAATGCATTGTACTAATGAAGGTGATAAAATAGTTATGCCTGTTTTTTAAAACATGATCTCATTCCTGATTAAAATGGGTGCACTGCATGAATGCATCCATCCAGAGGCCAAGTCTCTTTAAAACTGTGTAAATGTTGTTCGTTTTTCAAGAACCTCAAGGTAATCAGGATCAATATGAAGCTTTGCTTTCAGTTCCCAGTACTCGCTCCTGTTAGGCTCCACATAAACAGTACTTGGTGCTGTACAGTATAGTATTGTCTGTTGTATTCTCTCTGGGTGCACATATTGATGCCTTGTATCAAAGTCTGAGGTATACTGACTCGATGAATGCGCTGTATGCTTGCATGGTAAGGTATTGCTGTAGCGTGTGTGCTTGTCAGGCTCAAGTACATCTCTGTAGCAACACAGATCGTCTTGGTGAGGGGTGGAGGTCTTGTTAAGAGGCTCTGGAGTAGTGGCACTGTATTCCGAGCTTATTACATTACTGGCTGCCTCTTCATCGGAGTTACCCAGAAAAGCACCGCTCAACTCATCAAAGTCTCTAAATCCATCCACCGATTTGCTGTCCGTCGGGGTGTGGGCAGTCGTTCTGCATGTGGATTCTGTGGGAGGTGGGATGTACTCATATACATGTCCAGCAGATGTTCTGACTTTGGGAATGGATCCCTTTTTGTAAAGACCATATTCCATGTTGAGAGAGCTAATGCAAGCATTCATGGAGTTATTCTGCTTGTTTTGACTCTTTTGACGTCTCTTTTTCATTGCCACGAACAATCCTGCAGCCACAAACACAGACACAATGAACATGAGGAGAAGGGCAAGAATCATCACAGATAAAGGAATGGCACTGTATTGTATGTCAGAGTCCAAGGATGTTTCTATGGTGATAGTGCTGCCAGGAAAAGATTCTTCAGAGGGTGGGATCATGGAAGCAAGTATATCGGAGTTATTAGGGCAGAAATTAGCCGTCTTAATGTATCTCATATCCTCCCCAGCTAGCCTCTTAGGCGAGCCACAGATGACATTGTTTACAACTGTGCCTGTGCTAAGCTGCTCGAGCCACATCTTCAGCTCCAGTATGCTACAAGAGCAATCCCAGGGATTCTCAAACAAATCGACTTGCACCAGTGCAGTAAGTTGATCCAGCACACCACTAGTTGGCAGATATCGCAGATGGTTGTTGCGCAGATTTAGCCTGGCTAACGTCAGGCCATTAAATGTCCCCACTGGTAAAGTTTTCAAGAGGTTATTGTTCAGAAAAAGAAGTTGGAGTTTGGGTACATGCTGAAAGGTGTTATGGGCAACCCCTTTAATGACATTGTATTCTAAATATAAGAACTGCAAGGTCTCCAATCCAAAAAACATTTCAGATGTAAGATGGTCAATCAGATTCCCATTAAGGTATAGTCTTCTTAGATGTGTCAAATCCCCAAAAGCTCTGTCATGTATGCGAGCTATTCGATTGTTGCCAAGATGAAGCAAATCTAATCCGGTTGCCTCGATAAAATCTGATCTGCGCACCACAGGGATATAATTCCCAGTTAGATACATCTTTTTGGGATTGTAAGGTTTGGGATTTAAGTCCGAGATGTGCTCAATCTTCCGCTCCTGGCAGTTCACATTCAGGCCAAGGTCTGAAATTTGAAGATTGCAGGTGCAGGCAGTTGGGCAATCTAAAGGCACGGGGGATTTGGTTTGATATGAAATAATTTGGCCATAATTTTGTGGTTTATTTGATTGGATGCGAGAAGTGGGTCTTGATTTTAATTTGCCTGACTGGCGAGGTCCCTTAGTGGGTCTTGATGAGGACCGTGCAATCCCAGATGAGGTGAAGGAGGCTGTGACTAGAGCTGGCGTGGTCCTATAGTATGCATCGGTGCTCAGATGCGGCAGTGGTGGCATCTCATATTCAGCTATGGCTCTCCTCGGGCACAATTCTTGTTTTGAAACCTCATCAAGATCCCTCCCATGAAGCCGGAACGGGAACTCACAGACGACATCACCGACTAAAGCTGTGTATGATATGCTCTCGAGCCAGGTCTTAAGTGCAATCAACTCACAGGAACAGTTCCAGGGATTCTCCTCCAACTGTAACTCCACAACACTGTTCATGTGCTCCAGCAGACCTGAGTAGGGAAGCACTTTGAGCTGATTCCCCCTTAAGTCCAAATGAGTCAGTGGTACATACTGGAAAATGTTCACAGGCAAAGTAGATATTAAGTTGTCATTTAGAATCAGGACCTCCAGATGTCGAAGTCTGCTGAAGGCATTTAGTGCCACATGAGTGATATAATTATAATCAATTTGTAGATACTCCAGACTTTCAAGGCCAAAGAAAAACTCTTCCTTCAAGGCATCAATTTTGTTATTGTTGAGATGCAATCGTTTTAATCCCTGAAGTCCATTAAAAGCGCCAGCTTCCACGTCAGATATGTCATTATTTCCCAGATGTAATATTGTAAGTCCTTTGTAGTCAACAAAATCATTGGCAGATAGCTTCTTTAAAATATTCCCTGTAAGCAGCAGATGATACTGGGAGAAGTACACTGGGCTTATGTCTGAGAGACTTACAATTCCTCTGTTTTCACAGCTCACTGTAAGTATCCCCTCTCTCTCCTCACAGGCACACAGTCTTTGACATATTTCTCCATAACTGCCAAACATCTCAACAGTGCACATTGACGTTGCACTTAGCAAAACATATGAAATCCAAAGATGCATTTTCCTGCAAATGATGGCCCGAGCTCACAGTCCTGTTAAGATATCCTCAATGTCATCTAGAAACAAAAGACATACAAGGTGATGTGAAACAGGCAGCCTGCAATGAAAGCAAACTTCCACACAACAAGCTGTAGCCTGCATGAGTCAAAGCTTCATTTGCTATTACCCAGAGGTAACTTCTGGCTGTGTGGCTGCTGATTTTAAAATGGCTCAAACAAAGCAGGGCAGAAAGCAACTCCTTCAAGCTATGTAAATAACAAAAAGCAAGGTCAAAGCAAGACATAAGCACAAAACAAAGGTCTAAATCCGCTGTGAGAGGAATAAGTCACATCGCATTCGCTTGTAAAGACACTGAAATATGCAATTATATACTGGGTTTGAATTTAAATGTATGTAAATTGCAGAGGGTTAGCGGAGATTTCTGTATCACAGTGCACGCCTTGTCATACATAAGACAGCCTGCATAATTTGAATGTCTAACTCCTGGTAGAAATACATACCTCACGCACACTGATGAAGACGTCGGCTCGTTAGGTGTTTCAGCGCATCTTTTATTTTTAATCCGTCCAAGAAAAAAAAAAAAAAAAAACGAAATGGGTAACAGGATCTATTCAACGCGAGCACGTTCGTCGTCTCTAATGCACCGGAGAGGATGAAAGAAACGCTGATCAACCATAACTGCCAACTGCTTCTCTTTTTTACCACGCTGTGCCGGAGGAGACACAGCTATGCCTGGTAACAAAGTTGCTTATTCTTTCTCTCTCTCTCTCTCTCTCTCTCTCTCTCTCTCTCTCCATGGACGCTCACGCACGCACGCACGCACACACTCACGCACGCACTCGGTGGTCGGCAGGATGTCAAGTCATTTCATGCACAAACAATCAGCTCACTGGAGCATCATACCGAGATACATTCCCCCAAAAGATGTTGACCTACCTACGGAAAAGATGTCCCAAAAAAAAATAAAAAAATCAATAATTCACCGGGCTAGGCGCGCTCCTGCGCTCTAACGGGTTGTTAAACCGCTTATCATGTTATTTATCCTGAGAAAAAAATAAAAAATAAATAAAATAACTCCACCGGCATGTCAGGTTACATCAGCTTTTTCATAATCTGTCAATCCTGTAATGTTTGGTAGTTGGAGGGCGAGAGATGTAGCCTAAAACATTGGTGACAGTGTGTCTTTATTGTGACCTGACAGGAATTGATTACATATCTCCAACATGGCACTGGCAGCGCACTTTATTTACGTCCCAGCTGCTATTTTTGGACATTTCACCTGAAGAAAAGCTGTTGGTCTAGCCACAGTGCATAAGGTGCCCTGCAGGTGCTTGGCTGATCAGACTGTTAACTTTCTGTCCATTTTAGTTCTGCCCCTCAGTGGTTGTTAATGTCAATGATTTATGGCCCAGTCAGAATATTTTGGCAAAGTCCAGGTAACAGCAGACCCTTGAATAAACTGTCACACTCATCCCATTCCAACTCCTAAACTACTACTACTAAAGTGCTTATATGGACTGTGCAGAAGAGCCTTAATAATCATATCATCCACTGCATAATCCATGAACACACTAGGACTTTGACATGGTATGCTGTCTATTGATCACCAAGCTTGGAAATGAAAAGTAATACCCTTAAAATGGTGCAATGTTTGCCTGTTAGTTTATGAAAATTGAAAAGTAAACTATGAGTCACACAGAGTATGACTCACAGGCCTTACTGAGTGTGCTTTCACCTGATCTTAATGGAAACAAAACAGTCCTGGCACGAGTTGTTGCAGAGGTATAATTAGAGTGAATTATTCAATTCATTCATTTCAATTTATCAGCAGTAGCATCTGAACTGGTGGGGCATGGGAAATGTGGTGTTAGTTTAGTGGCAGGGCAAAAGGTAAAGAAAAAGACCTGTCATGCCCTACTCAACCTGATGCGGTGGCACTCATGTGGAAACATGTCAAGTATCGTTGTATATCGCTGTGTCCTCGTGGAGCTATATCCATCATCCTCTCCACTTGGCTCTTGCTCACATGGGAGGAGAGCAGGCACATCAGGGACACTGCCCGTGGCTCATATTAAAGAGTATGAAGGCTGTATTCAGCCTGCATGCAATTCATTTGTGCTTCTGTTTCCTCCTCCTTCAGAGAATTGTGCTGCATATATTGGGCTAGACCCTCAGAATTAGTTAAACCCCATCATTATGCCACTATTTCTGCATAAATTAGCAATTATGTTTGTTGCAATGTGGTAAGCAAACTGTGCAGCTGGCTTATAATATTTAACTTATTTGATTAAAACAGCTGTCATCACAAAAATCTAAATGAGTGGGTTATTTCTTTAATATTAATGAAATATTCTTTATAATTTGTTTGAGTAAATTTTGCGTCTTTGCATTTTGATGATTGTTTTCTCACATATGTTTGCATCTCTCTGCAGTATGATAATTCATGTTTATCCATGGTCACAATGTGCAGAGGGAACATGAGGCACACAGGCGATGCATGATACGAGCCTCATTTAATATCTCTCCAAGTCTTCCATGACACTGAACATAATCTTCTCCAACTGGGAGCAGAAGAGAGCACTCCCCCCCCCCCACACACACACACACACACACACTCACACACTCTCACACATGCACACGAAAGGAATCAGCATAACAAATGACTGGAAGAAAATGATGATGACTAACAATTATGTGCTCCAAGGTCAGAAATACACAAATGAAGTTGGAGCTGTGCCACAGAGGATGATGGGTAGTGCCTCTGATATATGTTCCTTACAGATGGTGCATCACACTTTGTCAACTGTGTCCAGCTGGAGCATGCAAGAACACTCGGCATCCCAGTGAACTGTTCTGCTATTGTCTGGCAGAAACATTACTGTCAGGGCTCTTGCAAGCCTTTGTTGCATCAGAAGTGATGTTACACAGCAAACAACGAGACAACACAGACCTTTTTAAGATTATTATGTCAGCACATTATGCAAGAGTTCTTTTGTGGCAGTGTAATAGTATTATCTGAGTTTATAAAAGCTTGTGGTCTTCTTATAATTTCATGCAATATGGAAAAGGAAAGAAAATACTCCTTTATACACCATTTCCTGCATGCACCTGGGTAGTTAAAACTACATCTGCAGGTCTGTGTAGAAATCTCTGGGTTATCAAGGGGAGGACATTGCTGACAGCCTGACTCACTGCATCATGCATAATTTTTGAAAACGTGTCCACCGAGGAGCTGCAGTGTTTTTCCAACAAGTCCTGGGTCCCAGAACTGAAGGCTCTGCTGAATGACAAAAAGAGGTATTTTATGTCAGGAACAAAGAGGACCTGCGGTGGGTACAGAAGAAGCAGAGGCAGAAGATCAGGGAGGGCAAAAACTGTAACAAGAGGAAGACTGAGGACAGACTGCAGCAGAAGAATGTGAGCGAGTTTGTAAGGGCATGAAAAACATCTTCTGGATACAAGAAAGCTAACAGCAGGCAGTCTGAGAACATGCCTCACAGGGTATCTGTTGTCTCCCTCCAGGAGGTGGGGGAGAAAAAAAAAAAAAAGATGATGGCCACATTATCAGCCATCATGGACTAAACCTCTCACCCCCCACATGGATGTATGCCCAGGGCAGATCCTTCTATGACAGGCAGCTTCATAAATAAAGGCACACTACAACATGGTTTTCATCTCTGCTGTCACAAGGCTCTGCAGTCTCCACTGTTCTCAGCAGACCATAATCCCCAGACAATGAGGTGCCATTTTAATAATTATAGCTTTTTAAACAATAATATGAGTATCCACTATCAGCCGGCATTATCTGCTCAGATATATGCCGCTGTTGACTTTATGACATGCAATTTTCATTAAAATTACATTTATTATATATTGTTATCTATGAACACTTTTTTCAATTTACTGTACTTCAGTGCACTCTCATACAGATACATTGTATGTAACATTGTGTGATAGTATGACTGTGTATTGTGAATATGGTACTAAATTCTGTCAAATTCATTTAAGATTGTTATTTATCTTGTTTTCAACAAGATGGCTGCTCTTTTCCTTTTGGTTGTTTGAGAGCGCATGGGGCTTCTTCATCTTTTAAGCTGTATCTGAACTCCACTTAAATGAATCAACCATACTGCACACTCTAACCCCATCTGCCACACCACTTCATCCTGACCTCAGACATGTAGCACCACCAACCTGACACCCTGGACTTTGTGAAGAACTTGTGAAGCTTCTTCTATCTGACCTTTAGAGGATTTCCCGTAGTTTTTTTTTAAATAATTGGCATATTCCTAACTACAGCTCCTATTACATCACCAGCCACCGGGGGGGCTCTCTTCAAATTAGTTCTCCTGTGGTCACTTATATATAACTCTAGTTAAGTCAGGAACTGTTGCTGCTGTGAGCCCATAAAGCCCACTTAGATATTGATGTAGTATTTGCAAATACAAATAGACAACAATGGACAAGTGCAGCTATATTCAGTTTCTTGATCACTTTATTTATTGTATAGCACAACTTTGTTATATTTCTATATTGGTATGCCGAATTATTTTTATTTTTTTATTTTATTTTTATGGCCAATAATAGTTTTTGCTGCCGTGCTGCTGTGTCACTTTAACATTTCACTTGAGGGATCAATAAACTTTTTTTTTCATAATGTCACATACTCTAGATCATAACATTTTTATATCAAGGGCCCATCGACAGATACTCTTAGACTAACTTAGATGCCCATTTACGCCTTTGAAGAAGCTCTGTATTATACTGTCTGTTTATGATGTGAGGGGAGATGCAGTCTTTGAAAGTCCTTCATTCTCTCCAGTTAGTGAGTTAGTGAAATTGAATTGAATTGAATTGAATTGACATTTTGAGACCTCTTTGATATGTTTCAAGGGCCGCTGGTGGTCCATGAACCCCAGTGTGGACACCACTGCTCATTACAAGAAACAGAATCAGTCTATGTTTTGTTTTTTTTGCAAGCTGCTATGGCACCACCTGTTGGTCACAATTAAGAAATACAAAAGGAGAAAGGGAGATAATAGACGAAGTGAGGTTTGTACCTTGGTGTTAAGTGGTGGTTTATTACTCTAGCATTCAATATGTCTGTATGAGAAGGATAAAAGTCATTACCCTGTCTGCCTGTAAAGAAACACAGTGTTGTACACTGGGGGGTCAGAAGACCATGAATACTTCTATTCATTTTTCTTTAAATCACATCTTGACCACTAAATTCAAATTATGGGTTTGTTCATATTAAAGCATACAAGGACATTGCACTTTGCAACAAAAAAGTCCGGTGTTGTATCTCTGAATAACTGGTTGGAAAGAGAAGAGCAAGAGTAGAATATTTTTTCATCAAAGGTCAGGTCAAATTCCACTTTACGTATTTGGAAGATTAGAAACTGACAAAAGAAAAACTTCATCCTTTAATTCAGTTTAGATGTGACTTAAAGAATGCAAGAGAGCTGCCTGAGATGGGAATACATATTAAATACAACAAAACTAGACGACAATTGACGACAACAGTTGTGTGAAAAAAAGAAAAGCTACAGGTGTCCTTGAGTATTTTTCATTTCTTTAACATATAGAAGGAGGTCAAACAAGCAAGTGGAAGCAACTGTAAGGAATTTCACTTCACATTTGCTTAAGTTTGACCTCTTACTGTAAGTCATAGTCAAGAACCCAGAGAAGTGAGAACTTCAACAGCTTCAACATTAAAGTGATAAACACACTTAAGCATTAATCATTATAATCCAGTAATATAATATATATGATTCTGAAGCAGGGTACTTTTGTTTTTGGTACTTTGGTCCTAAGTATATTTTGATGCTTCTACTGTTACACGGAAACAAGAAAATGTGTTAATCATTATACAACACAGGTTGCACTTCCTTCATGCTACAAATAGAAAATGATCATTAGATTCCTAGAATATAAATAAAATAAACCAATATGCAGTTATTTATATACATATATACCTTCACGTATACACCCGGGACATAATTCCACAGTGCACCCTTTGAATTTGCATCTGGGGGGTTGTAAACAGCAGCAACCACATAGTGACGATAATATG